ATATTAATCGATCCTCTTTCCGAGAAGAACCTTACGGTAACGTTCCCATAACTTTGCCGGTAGCGTAGACCCACGATCGGTCGGGCAAGCTCGGGAAAATTGCATTCAGCAATTCCGATGAACTTTACCTTACCATGTAAAGTGTTCAAGCTCCTCCTTTGTGGAGAAACTGGAATAGCTTGCCGCCACTTTCTGAAAAAGTGGATCAGGTCAGTCTTTGCCAGACCATGTAAACAATCGGTCACCGCTCCACCATGGAACTTAAATAAAGCCGGTTCGCCTTCGACGACGCGGTGAAATTGTTGCTGAACAAACTTGGATCCAGTCTGTCCTCGCTGCCGCGAAAAAAAGACACCGAAAACTTAGAACGACGACAGCTGGGCAACGCTGCGAGCTGAACCGTTCCGCGCGCATCGGGAGAAGCTTTGTAAACGGCTGGCCCGTGGACGGAATTTCGTTTCACGCTGGCAGCGCATTACGGAACAGTTCGTAACGGTTAACGGTGCATCATTTTCCATAATATGGAAAAAGTTACGGTGTGCGTGGAGCCGTTCTCTCCGGCCAGCGCGGAGAACCGGCCGGAGCGGACCTCGGCAACGGGAATCCGTCGTTTTTGCCCGCGATGTTTTCCAATTTCCAATAAAATATTTTTCTCGGTGACGGCGGGGGCCAGGGGACGGTGGAGGACGAGAACAGGGGGATGGGGCGGCGCGTATATCCTCTCCTTGCGGCGAAACGGACTCGATAAAAGTTAACTTTTCCAATTTCCCGCGAATCGTCGGCGGCCACTCGGAATTCGATACGTACACACCGCTCCGCATCCTTGGCCAGGATGTTAGCTCAGCTTCGGCTAAACCGACCGGCCAACCTAAACGATAAATTCATGTGTATAGAGACCCGTGATTCTCCCCTTAAAAATCGTTCGCCGGGAATCTCGGGAGTTCCTCGAATCTCCTTCTGTTTCTCGCGATATCCCTCGCTCGGCGTCGAACGACGTTTTATGGCTCCGATATTTGGCTTCGAGTCCCGTGCCTACCCCCCTTAAATTGTTTAAAATGATTCGAGGCCGCGTTACACGCTGGTCGAATCGTTCGCTCGCGGAAGAAAATTTGATTCAAGGAGCAGAACGCGAGCCCCGGACAAATCGAATCCAAGATCATGAATACGTGTCAAGGAAGCTCGCTCTCGATCCCTTAAAGAAACCCAATAAAAACCCTGTTGAAGTATTTCTACAAAGGAATTTTATAAGAACGGCCAAGGCTGGAAGCGGCGTACGTTCTTCGATAAAAAGCATTCGGGAGTTTTTTGCGAAGCGAGAAGAATACTAAATATGGCTCCTTATCGGAAAGGCGCATTCGTTCGAAATGCCCTGGAAAGAAGTTCCGTAGAATGATCTGCGATCAAAGGTTAAGCTGCTTTGTAAGGGCGCAAATATTGCTGGCCCTGCAAAGGACAATTTCATAAATATCTGGAACGGTGTTACGTAGCTCACGCGTCCTCCAAACAGCACACGTTCTCCGGAGAACAGCGACTATAAAGGGACAAGGCAAAGGCCCTGTATCTCCATCGATATCAGCATCGATTCTTCCATGACATCGGTGACGATTGCGTCCAGTAATTAATTCCGTGCCCGAGTAGAATAGGAATTATTGATCGGACAAGTAGAATAACGCAGCTATTCGTCCCTCGAGGGACGTAACTTAGGGTTAGGTCGGACAAGCGGAATAATGGAATGGTTGGCCGGGCAAGTAGAGTAATGCCGGTAGTAGCTTCGGACGAGTCGGGCAAGGAGGACAATAAGTAGAACGATGCTTTTATTGGTCGGCCGAAAGGCCGCGCGCAACGTTGGTATTCGAACGGGGGCGTTGTTTGGCGGCGGAAATCTTTTTGTTTTACGTCGGCACCGTTTTATGGAGGTCGTATTTCCATACGGAAGCTGTAAAAACGTCGGCCGACGTTCGGGACATCCAGCGGGAACGGGGGCGAGAGATTATGGTCACAAAGGGAAACTTAATTTCATGCAAATACCGGGGCCGAGTCACCGCGAAACTATCGCGAAAAGTGTGAAGTTCTATTGAATATATTAGAAGGAGGGAGGGGGGAGGAAGCGACAAAGTGATTTGAATACCGTTGGAAGTTGCGTTATGAAATGGAAGATCGTGACAGGATCGCGACACTGTGAAAGGAATAAATTAGGAGGCGTGGCTGGTTGAAATCCAATGAAGCGCGATATTCTTCGGCGCTCGTCATTGTCGGACAGACAATGGGAATTTTGAACTTTCTGGCTCGTTAGAAGTACTCCCGCCGGTTTAACAATGCGCTGATACGTTCGTCCCGCGTCTCCGGAGACGACTGAACGGATCGGAACGGTAAATGGCCGACGGATGATAGTTCCTCTTGGAAATCAGCAGCCGTAATCGCCGCGCATCCAGAGAAGTCTACTAATGATTGTTCGCCGCTATTTGCTCGCCAGTTCGGCTCGAGTATCGATTGCCGTCTCGCAGTTACGCGCCCGGCCAGCCGAAGACTTCCACGGAGTTATGCCAGCGATTGGACACGATCTAATGTTTACCATTGATTTCAACCGGTCCGCCGCTATTTCTGGGCATTCGTTGACCCGCGCCACTTGCCCAGCGAACGCGATTCGACAGGGATCGGTGCTTACACTCGAAACATACTCGGTCCACGCCAATCGTTGGCCTTTGTTGCTTAACTTCGACTCGAGCCCTCGTTGACATTTGCATTAGGTGCGGAAGTTCGTTCGAGAACACGTTTGTGGACGAATAATCGAGATAAAGGTCGAGGTTGTTCGATTACTCTGTTTTCAGTTATTCGACACACTTGTGACGCACCTTTTACCCATTGTTAACTCGCGTCGATCATTTTGTACACCCAAAGTGCGACTGCTTAATCGCGAGAGAGACGAATGAATGTTGCACATCGAATTGTTGAATTTCATTCCGTGGCTGATCGGCGACAGGTCCATTCTACTTATCCATCGCCACCCATTCCGAGAAATCGTCGATCTTTGAACTGCTGGAACTTGGTTCGGAAAAAATCTTGCCGCATTCTGTCTGTGTTTATTTTAAACGGCGAAGCCTCTGCTTTGACATCCACGAACCGAATGTTATTAAAAAGTAAACCTTTTAAACGGAACGAGGAGCTAAAGTTACTTACTCCCTTTGTAAGGCAAAAACGCGTTTCGCGAGAACGCTGTTATCCTAGGATCTTCGATGTTACGATTTGGAAATCGTATCCAAGGAGTCGAAGCGTTTAACGCGTTCTTCGCAAAACGTCCGCAAGGTCGCGTTGAGCCAGATAGGCAAGAAACTCGCGAGCGTGCCATATCCGAAAGAACAGGGCCGGGGGAATAATTACGAAACTGCGAGTGGACTTTCTCGAATCAGTCTCGAGCCAAATCTTAGCAGTACACGAGAGCCGCTTCCGAATCGATTAATTCCGGAACCGTTCGAACGTGAAAATTGATACGAGCCATTAAAGCCGTTAACCGTCCCTCGTAAATTCGCGCGCAGGCCTCCAACTTCCCCAAGAAACCGCGACACTTTTCTTTCGTATATCTGTTCTGGCCTGGAAGCTCTTTCTGGGCTAGTCTCTCGAACCGCGGCTCTCTACCCGACCCGAATATTCAGGTTGGAACGATACAAAGTTTCGCGACTCCTCCCACGAAATCCACCTCGCGACTGCCGGAATTGTTTTCCAGTTTTACATTGTGTTCGTCCCGCCGGATAAGACGGAACGTGTTCGGATATTTTTAAGCGACCCACGGGGCAACCCCGATGACCGATGCGCGCCAAGAAAAAAATACTATGCATCTTTTGTTCGAACTATTTTTATTAGTTACCGGGGTTTTATAAATCTTTGCGCGGTAGGGTCGATTTGGATAAAGGAAGAAGACTAAAATCTGCGCTCGTTAGGCGTAAAAATCTGATATTATACGATCCATCTTTCTCCTTTTCCGATTACCAAGAGAACAAGGATACCGATTTAACTTTCTTGCGAGACAATAAATCGAGAATGCGACAAAACGGAGGCTAAGCGTTGCTCAAATTCGTGTTACCGGCGTCTGAAATTTGCGCGTCGCTATTTCGACGCTCCAAGAACGAAAGCAATTCGTTTCGCTGCGAGTAAGAAACTTTCGGACGTGTTTCAATCGCGAATGAATTTAATCCGGAACCTAGAGCCGTCGAAAGTGGGAAAAAAATGCGATCCAGATCGCGTCCGAATTGCATCGGCAGCTTTAAAGTCGAGGGCAGACATTCCGCGGGGATGTTTCGTTAAAAATTGCTCGGCTGCCTCGCTCCGAAAGCCAATACCACTACCGCTGGCGATATTTAGCGTCTTTTGAGGCAGCTGATCAGCCCTCTCCTCCAGGATTCAATCGCGGCGTACGTGTCTTTGCCCCTGCGTGTCCGGGGTCAGGGGTCCGGGGGGTCTGAAGCTCGGCAGGGGTAGCCGGCAGCCGCTTGAAAAGTTCGCAGCCCTTGAGCTTCAAAGCGGCACGCGTCTCTAATTTCTACTTTGGTAAGCAATTTTCCGTGATGCCCGTTACCTGTTCAAAGTTCAGCCCGGGGAAAGGTGCGCCGCGCTTGACTTATCGAGAGGCGGTCCGTTTGAGACTGTTTTCCATCCTATTAAGTCGGAGTTTAACTCGGCGAAGGTTGCCGTGTTCTTTCGCGAGGGCGATCGGTCGAAACGGTCTCGCCGTTTCTTTCCAACGGCGCGTTTTAATTCCGTTTCGAGCACCGCGATCGCCTTCCGTGCGTTCGATTTCGAGAATTTCCCCGCGCCGCAGATCCGCGGACATTTTTCTCGCGGGACCCGCTTTCGAGTCTGGAGTAATTTTCGGGACTCGATTATCGCGCAGATAATGCGACGGTGGAAACGATTAACGGTGTCCGTAGACGTAATTAATAGTTCGATAGACAGCGACACGTTTAACGGCTGGTTTACACGCTCACGCCTCTGTTACGATGTTGCAGGGCTCGCACACGGCATCAAATGTTACAAATGCGGTCAGTACAACGAGGGAATCGGCAGCATCACGCCGTGCATCAATTACACCGCGCATATGCATTTGAGGGACTGCGCACCGTCGTTCGAATGGTGCATCGTAAGTATCTTTTTACATTTATCTACGGATCGTCGACTTTCGTCGAACGGATTGCGATCGTTTTTGACGGATCGAACGCGAAAACTGTAAATTTACGCTGTAACTGTAAATTCGCTCGGTATCAAAATCGGGACACCGAAGTCTCACGAAACATTCGCACGCGACAACGGTAACAAATATCTTGGAACAACGTTCCTCCGCGCAACTATACAGCCCGCGGCATAATTACGATCGATACGCGCGACTAACGATAGTTGTGTCCTACTTGTCCGTCCAAGGAGACGCTCGATTCTCTGCTTATATAAAACATCGATCCCGACTCCCACCTTCGCGTTTGTTGCCGATCCTTCGTCCGCTCGCCGCAGATTTATTAGCCTTGTCCGCCTAATGGCCGCCTCGATCCGCTCGTTTCTCAAACTATTGGGCAATCGAGAAAGTTCGCGGTGCCTCCAGGTTTTTGTCGCTATTCGAACTCTACGCGCGCGCGTCGGGTCGATCAAAAGTATGCTGTTTATAATTGTCTCGTCGACGCGCAACCAGCGTTTTCTCGCGCGATAGCGCACGGCGCGTCGTGTTAATTCCGGCGAACGATTGCCATCGATTATTTCGCGGCTCGTTTAATGCGGCGAGTTCGACGATCGGCGTGCTGGAAACGCGCGATTCACGAAGCACGAAAAAAAGCGTCGCTCGCCATCCGGGAGCCGACAACCGTTTGACACTCTTCCAGAAAGAACCGTAACGAACGACGTTATTTACCTCCTCGACCATGCCGGATTTAGCGAGCAGATTGGCTTCGACGGCTTCTGCAAGCTTGCACGTATCGTCGCCAAGAGTTCGCTCGTTCTCTCTCTCTCTCTTCGTCTCTTTTTTTTCCGGGAATCGTAAAAAATCCACTCGCACGTTGCCACCAATTCTGCAATATCTTATTATACCGACAATCTTCTTCCTCGGTTTTCTCTCCAGACACATCTCGGATTTTTCCCTTAGATTCCCTCAGAAGGGCATGACATTAAGCGATGCCTCGAGAATCAATGCTGGCCGTTTACGTCTTTTGATCTCTGACGAAGAACCGATCGAAATTCTTCCAAACGAGAGAGTTCTTTCTTCGAAGATATTTATCTCGTCGCACGCCGTTTCGGCTTTGTAACGAGTAGATTGCAAATTTTATGTATTTCCAACGAAACTGAAGTTGCTGACAACAAATGCCACTTTCGAGATTACATCGACGCCTTTTCAAACGGAACAACTATTCGTGAATCGAATATCATTCCACCTAAATCAAATTGCAAACGGCCGATTCGAAACAATCCTAATGATTAAATGAAATCGGGAGCGATGCAAAAGTTGTCGGCAAAGTTGACCGAACACGCTGCCCCGTCGCGACGAATTCAATGGAATCGGCATGTTATCCTGTCGGGCCCGATCTTCCACGGGCCACAAAGAAATCCGCCGCCGACGGGGGGCACCTTTTAGATTGATGAAAGCGAATGCGGGACATTATTTCGCCGATAGTAGCGCGCGGACGCACTCGTATGCGAATTACGAAATGGAGGAGGCGAGTTCGCGATTTCTTTCATCTAATAATTCGTGGCCGGCCACCAAACAGAACGATAAAAGTCGCGTAAAAATTCGAAACGCCGGGCCGAGCCGGGCCGGGCCGCGCGGTTCCCGCACGCTGACAAATTCCCGCGGCAGCCCGATGCGCCTTTCAAGCTAATGAAAAGAAATTTTTGCCGGGGTCTTTGATGTTCGCGGCCGTTCGCGGGCCGGTCGGATTATTTTCTGGCGGGAATTCGGCGCGCGACGTTGAGCGAGTTTCGGCGAGCAAAGTGACACTTAATTAAAGCTGCGCTCGCGCGTCGTCGGCCCGTAATTGAAACAAAGCTATAGTCCCCCCGGCAAACTTGCTTGCACCGTGTTAAGAACTTCCTGTTTGTCCTGCCACCCAGGATGACCATGCTAGCGAGTCAAAGGGGCCGGCCGGCGCCTTTGATCCTTCGGCCGGAGGTCTTCCCGGAAATTCGCGCTTCGATTTCCGACGGGAGAAAAACGCCGCACACAATCTACCAGAACGAATCTCGTATCTCTGTCAATTGTATATTATTGATTACGGACGGAATGGTTTTAGCAGGCTGTGCAATTTGATTTTACTGTCGCTTCGTTGCAATTTTTATTTGACAATTGTCGAATGTATAGCGTCCGATGTAAATGCATTTAGACGAACGGTATAAAAATCGTGATTCAGTTTTCAGGCTACCGAACAATAAACGCGCGAATGACGCTAGAAACGGGAGGAAGAACAATGGATCTGCGAGCTGTGTCGCCAAAAATATGTTCAAAGAATTGATAGCCGAAGCGACAAATGTTTCCAAGCATCGTCGATTCTCCGCGGTCGCGATCGAGGCGACAGAAGCATAACAATGAAAAAGAAGCATTAATCTTGTCCGGTCTTATCTTGCCTCGGCATTCCTATCCGAATCCCGTGATCCATATATCGCGTTGCGGCACGTGTCGCGCAGCTGTCTCGCCGGGCGTGGTTCTCGATCGCCGACGGTCTCAAAGGGATCCGCGATCGGCATCGATTAAAGGGTCTCGTCCGTCCTCTATCCGGCGACCCGGCTCTCGCTTGTCTGTCTTCGATTCGGCCGGCAATTCCCGGCCCGCTGCCTCCGGCGAAGTTGCATTCATTGCGGCGACTGCATTATTAGAGCTCGCACGGCCCCGGCCTACTAATGCACCGGCGGGTATTCCGTCGTGCCCTTCAAATTAGTGCCAAGTGCATGCGTTAGGCAGGTATTAATTAACATTTTGCCCTGGCAATATCGGGCTGTCGCGCGAACCTACACGCCGGATATACCCTGTGGGATGCGGCGCCGGCAACCGGAGTCGTTCGACGCGCTGGATCGAGGAGATTGGCCATCGATCGACGGGATCGAGGCTGCACGCCGGTGCCTGATATTTCAGCGAGAACGCGCTGCTGAAATTTTTTTCGATCGGGAATTACGCGGCTTTTTCGAACGTCTGTAGCTTCGCGCGAAAAATCTTGCAACGTTCCAGCCGATTTTTGTCGGCGATCCACGATGATTTTCGTGGATAATTTTGCGATCTCTTAATTTCTTGGAGTATTTCCTAGAGTACCATATATTGAATACGAATCAACGCGTTCGCGTGTTCCTCCTCAGCGAGGATAATGCGAGACATTCGGACCAAGAATATTATTGAAATAACAGTGTTCGTAAGACGAGGAATATTTAACCAACTAGGGTCGGTTGCCTAGCTAGAACGGGGCTATTCTACCTGATTGGACCCTGTTACAATTTTAATACTCAACGGAGCAGAAGTAATCCTGCTTAACTCGTCTGACTCGAGGCGACCATATTCTACTTCGCTGAGCAACGCTGTCCCTGTTCCCCTTGTCCGACTACGAGCTAGCATACTCTACTTAGTCGAGTGAGGTGAACCCGTTCCGAAACAGTGCCGCGGGTTTCGTTTATGCCGCGTTGCTGCCAACCTAACGACAGCGAACGAAACCGAGCCCAAAATCTCCGTGCTGCCGTTATAATACCTCTGCCAGAACGAATATGGTCCAATTAACGTGATACAGCCATTAAATATATTTCCGGAGATTATCGAAACTCTCTGCGGCATCGAACTATACGCTAGGTTTGCTACGTTTAATTTGCCATTGCATAAATTCGTTATATCGGATATATATAATAAAGATCGCTGGAAATCTGAATATAGACGTACGGTTGTCGTCTTTACGAAGCAACGTAAAGTCGTTGCTCTTAGTATTTCAAAAAGTGATTTCCATGTTAAAGCGATTTCAATCGTGCGTATGAAACGGTGAATCGTTTCGATAAAACGATAGTACTCAAAAGATAATGCTCGCGAGCACGCGAGGTGCACGCGAGACACACAACGGGAAATTCTTTGCGATTATTCTCGCTCAGGGTGCTCCGATACGAGCATTCGCTGTTTTCGAGATCGCGACCCCATCGAATCTGCATCGACGGCGGGAGAGTCGAGGGTGCTCCAGCGTCTCCAGCGTCTTTCCACCGCCGAGAAACCATGCCCCCGGTAATTATTTAACGTCGAACGAACGTCGAAAAATTCTTATTTCCTCGCGGACGTTATCGCACAGCGAATTCCGCCGGGAGCACAACAGTATTCTCCGAACTCGCCCGCTCTTTCTCGCAAGAAGATTCCGCCTCCGTCCACGCTCGCGGGTCCCTTTCGAGCACCCGCGCGAACTTCGCGCCGCCAAATAGACGTTTTTCCACGAGCACGAAAGTGGAAACGTAATTATTTAAGCTCCGGTGAAATGGCGTGGCTCCGAGTTCCCGGGCCCGAAGAAAACGCGGAAGCTCTGCGGAGAAGTTAGCCCGGCCGGCGAGCTCGCCTCGGCACACACGACAATGGAAATTGCGAATATTACGTTGCGTGCAATCGTCGCGTGTGCCGTCAGGCAGCTCTCTCTCTCTCTCTCTCTTTTTCTCGATTCGAACTCTTTGTTCTCGCCGCTCTCGCCATTTACCTTCTCGGTAATTTCTGTCCGAACGACGATCTCCTTCCATTAGCGGGACGCGGAAGACGTCCCGCGGTTCCTCGGGGCTGGAAACGTTAAAAGCGTGCCGCTGTTACGGAATGGTAAATAATGAAGATAGCGCGGTGGCCCCCTTTTCGGTCCCAGACGTTTTCCTACGGACTCCAATTTCGTAACTCGATGGTGATGAATGCCCCGCGGATTCTTTATGCATTTATCGTTCGCGGTCTCCCCGGGATTGCTTGGGAACTTCGGGCGAGCGAGCGGAGCGAGCTCTCGAATTACTTTTATCGCAGCCTGCTCCCCGGATGGGACAAACTGCTGAATCAATCCGAAACTTTGCTATTTCGTTCGACGCGCGATTTAGAAACATCCGAGTCTTCGGAATTACTTTCTTACCAGTGGCCGCGCGATAGCGTTCGCACGCCAGCGTTGGAACGCGATGTATCTTTCA